GGGGAGCAACACGTGCTGGGAACCGGGCCCAGCGTCCCATGTCAAATTTATACAAATGATTTAAAATGCCAGGGCCATTACCTGGCTTCGGCTAAGAGCAATCTGAAAACTTATGAAAAAATTCAGAAAAAATATAGGAAATTTTAGAAAAAAAGTCCTTCGAATGCTCAGAATCCCTGGAAACCCCAACAAAACACTCTAAAATTCTCTAACACTGTCTAATTCCCTGTCGGGCTCTCCCAGACCTCATGCCCCCACCCTACTCAGTTACAGGGCAACACAACTCACCCCAGCTCCGTCGAGCATTGTCCCGACATCAACCCTTGGTTTTCCCTTGGAATGCCCGGCCCAAGGCATCCCCAGATCTCTCTACCACATCTCACGCTTGTTGGGTGTCGATCATGATAATTTTGTTGGCATGCAGAAAGTCAGAAATGAACATTTCTCGTTTTTCATGAACAGGAGGTCAGTCCTTCCCTTCTGTAGGGGAGTAATCAATACCTCTGTTCATTGCATAACGAAGCTGGTTATGATTCTCATGTTACACACATCATATTAACGTGTGGGATTTGCCCCCTCGTCTGATAGATAGATTTTCTTTGACATCTCAACTCATCATCGTATAGGGAAGCTGGTTTTAATTTCCGGCTCAACATACCATACACACCATATCAAGGTTAGGGTTTCGTCTGATTGACTAGATTGGTCTCGATGCCCCAGTCTGTTTTGGAGATACCGTTGATCAGATCGATAGGGTTATCCCATCATCTGACATATATTGATTAAACGTGCATACATAGGTAATATGTCATACGCATCACATCAAGGTGAGGGTATCATCTGATTGATTGGATTGGTCTCGATGCCCTAGTTTGTTTTGGAGATACTGTTAATCAGATGGATAGGTAATACGTCATACACATCACATTAAGGTTAGGGTATCGTCTGATTTATCAAATTGGTCTCGATGCCCTAGTTTGTTTTGGAGATAATGTTGATCATATAGATAGGGTTCTCCCATCATCTGACATATATTGTTTAGACGTGCATACATAGGAAGGTGGAGTCATCAACACATCAACACAGCTCTGCATAGGGATGCTGGAACTGATTTCCAGCAGGTGCAACTCCCCACCAATAGATGAAGCCTTCGACACCGGGACCTACTTACCGGGGATGCTCTTACACCTCGCTAAGTAGGTTTCCCGTACACAAAGGTAAGAAAAAAAAAAAAAAAAAAAAAAAAAAAAAAAAAAAAGGATTCGAGCCCATGATTGGTCCTGATGCGCCTCGATGCTACTGACCGCAATGACGTCCAAAGGGAGGTGGTTAGGACATACTCAACATCATGACTTCCCTGGATGGTTGTGAGAACTTGTGACCGTTGTTCGCACTCTGTGTGGATGCTTTTGGTCCTGATTACGTCTATAGGAAAACGATTCAAGTCTGGGACTGTCGGTGTACACTTCTTCTCTTACCCCCATTATCTGAGATATTTGGGCCGAATTCGTTGTGTAATGACCCTATCAGGGCAGTGTGGGAATTTGCAATCTGGACGTGGTCGTTGGGGCTTGGGCATTTTGCAATCGGCCCTCGGGAACGTTGGTGGGCATTCCGCTTTAATCACACCTTTTAGGACATTTTGCACATATCTCAACTTACTGGAGTATTTTGCAAATTATCCCTTCTTAAAATTGAACCTGATTTTCATTTGTCAGAGGGGCATTTGGCTCTATTAACATCTTTTAGGGGCATTTTGGGATACATCTCAACTTATGGGACAATTTTGCAAATTCTCCCTTTTTTAAATTGAACCTTCTGCACAACATCCATGAAATTTAAGGGTTTCTGGATTTGAATGTTTCTTTTGGGGTCCTCAGCCCCAGACCTCCATTAGGGTCTGGGACTGAGACTCTCTGGGAATGTGACTTGGAGTGGGACTGAGATTGAGCCTGGAAAAGAAAAAGGATAATTTCTCTATTTATGGGCTTCTTTTTTACTAGGGAAAACTGCATCTGTACCCCACTTAAAGATAGGAATATGAGCTAGACCCAGTCCCAACACGAACTTGCATCTACACCCAAAGGGCGTTCAACTTTGCGTAGTACCCAACTTTTCCCCTTTCTGAAATTGTAGGTGTATGCAATCCCGCAGACCCTGGATTCAGAGCACGAAATTGCGCTCATGCCCACCAAGTAGACCGTTGTGGCCAAGCGGCTGCTGCAGGGTATGAGCATAATTTCAGCCATTCAGGTAGCAGGGTATATGAACCATTTGGCCTCTCCTCCTCAGGTCCCGGGTATGCACATAATTTTGTCTGGGTATGTCCATAATTTGTGCATTCAGTAGCTGGTTATAACTACAATTTTGCGGTACCAACCTGGGTCCACCTCGGTCCTGGGCATCCAAACAATTTTCACCAACCGTTTTCTGGGTAAAGAAGCAAGTTGACGC